AATCATGGATTGAGAAAAAAGCAGCCGTTCGTGAAGCAACAATCAAAAGAAAGCACTTCACCATAGAATGATAGAAAGTAACTAAGAAGCATGGACACTCCATTTTAGGCGGAGTGTTCRTGTCGGACACGGATACGCCCGGACATGCTCYGGACACGTGTCCGACACGCCATTTTACRTGTCCTCTTTATTTTTATTATTATTTTTTTAATTCGGACACGTCTTGGACATGTCCTGGACATGTATTGGACACGCCCGTTAAAATTTTAAACCAAAAAAATAGAGAAGAAAGATATTAAAATGTAAAAAAATAAATGGGAAAAAGCCCTAATTCTCCCGCCTGTCACAAAGGAGCTGAAGCATGAAGACAAAATTGAAGGCATCTCTTGCGTTCACCATTGCCACCACCGCTAGCCTTTACTCACGRAGAAGAATAATTGCACAAGAAGAAGATAGAGTATGGGAGAAGACAGAGTTTTGAAGAAAAATTGAAAGAAGAAGAGTTGGAAGAGGAGAAGAAGAGTTGGAAAGAGGAGAGGAAAAGACAGTAGAGAAGAAATATAAAAATGGAAATTTGATAAGAAAAAAGGAGAAGAATAGACCGAGGAAGGAGAATAGTCCCTGCACTTATTTCTAGTGGCATGAAACTTCACTTATTGCTCATTGCATGAAGCTGCCAAATAGCAGTCTACCTGTTCAAGAGATAGTTTCTAGGTTGCATGAAGCTGCCAGCAGTAATTTTCCTTCCATAAATACAAATGTATTAATTACAATATTATCTATTTTTTTAAATAATGTGTCCCTAGCATGTCCGTGTCTTACATTTTAAGAAATTGACTTGTTGTCATGTTCGTGTCGTGTCGTATCCGTGTCTCGTGTCCGTGTCTGTGCTTCTTAGAAAAGTAAGAATAGGTTTAGAGGGAGTAGAGCAAAAATCACTGGGACAAAGAAAGATTGAGCGTTATTCATCTCTATCCACTAGTCCTTTTGACCATGGTTTACCAGCCCTCTTCCTCTACTTCTTGATGCTCCTTTAAACTAGAAGTTCTTTAGGGAAACTGTTAGGCCCCTCATAACCAAGACATATCATAGGAAGGGTAAAAAGGGAATGTTGGGAGTATAGGCCATAACGGCCAGGAGAGAGAATGTTAGTAGCGGCGGTTAGAGAGTACGGTTAGGGTATAAGGTAGGGGGAAGGTTGTAGGGAGGATTTTATCTTTTTGCTGAATTGTGTTTGTCTTGTTAAGCAAGCCAGGGAGAGTTTCCCCACCCTCTCGAATAGGTGGGTTAGCATTTTGTAAAGCCTGAGGGCTCCTTCGTTGTTGGAGTAATAGAACTAGTGAGGAGATACCTCACAGAAACCTGCATAGATGACCAGACAATTTAGATAGAAAAGACAACAAATAGAAAGGATATCCTAAATAAAATTTTGAATCTTAGTATAGATTTAGTATAGATGAGTTTAAAGTCTGATACATAATTACTAATGTATTCCTTCATTTTGTAGGCAGTTATCTGCTTGGATGGTGACGGCTGCAAGATTAGAAATGGATCTGGATTTACTGAAGGAGAATCGGATCTTGATACCTCAATTGCTTGCGACTCATGTGATACATGGTAAAATTGGAGCATTTTCCCTTTTGTTTTCTCATTTGAAGTTGAAGAATGCCTTACGTGCATGCATACATACATTGCATACAACACACATACATACATTACATACAACACACATACATACATTACATACAACACACATACGTACTTATGTGGGCAATTGGGCAGAACATCCTTATGAATATGTACATTTGACTAAATGCCCTAAAATTAAATTTGAGCCAAAGTACCCTTTTCTCTACCAAATTGCCCTTAATTAATCCAACCAACATCCTTCCACTTCTGCATCTTCATCAATTCCTACCAGTAGTCCAAACCAAAAATTCCATTGTTAGCTTCTGCAATTTCTCCAAGACTCCATGTTGTCACATATCCTCTCCTCCATGTCTTCCACAGACCACAACTTCTGCTTCCTTCATGTCTGCCACTTTTTTCAACTTCCGAGGCATCCTTTTAACGTTTTTTATTTTTACACATTTTTTTATTCATTATCATATAAATTT